TGGTTGCTGCGAGGTGTTGGTTTGTGAATGCTAAGTTTATGCTATCTCATCCTCTGAGCTCTTGCGACTGAGCTGTGACGCCGCTTCCGTCGTCCTGCTAGCACTCTTTCCAAATTCCCTAGCGAGCAACTCCCAAAACGCTGAAACAGGCATACCAATGAGACGAAAGGAGAGAACACGCTTACAGAACAACATCTGGAAGGATAGAAATAGAGAGAGAGAGAGGGAGGGAGGTAACAGACAAAGGGAATAGCTTTGCAACTGCGACGCAATTCTCTCGCAGTCGTTTTAGAAATCAGACTTTCGTATCTATCTGTCAAAGTTGATTTTTTTTCTTTTTTCTTTTCTTTTCGAAATCTACTCTCGCGGAAAATGTCAAAGTGATTTCGACATATACTTTTTAGACAATCCAGCCAGCAGGCAGAGCGAGAGAAAGCAGTTTGGTCATAAAACACCGGCTTAACGATGCCGTTCGCGGTGAAAGTGAAAGCAATTTCTTTCTCGGCGAAGTTCTCGGGTCTTTATCGGGGTAAACGAAGTTATCGCGCGATCTCACAGTGATCAGAGAGAATCGGGCCGAACGTGTTGGAGTACAACGACTCTTCGACTTTGGCCACGTTTGGTTTCGTGGTGAAAGAGGAGAGGAGAGAGCTCGTAGCTCGTAGCTCGAGAGAGAGAGAGAGAGAGAGAGAGAGTGAGTAGAAGGGAGTAGCAAGGGAGTAGCATCCCCTTACCACTCGCTAGTGGCACGGGGGATTTTATTTATTCCGGGTTGGTACGCTTGTTCCGGCCTCCTCCACTGAATCCCTCTTTTCAACCCTCCTCCACCGCTCTCTACCTCTTCCTACTTTTCAGCCTCCCTCCCTCCCCCCCCCATACCATCTCACTCCGACAATTCTCTAGCAGGATGGTTGCCAACGTGGCTGACTCTGTTTAACGACTTTCTTATACATTGAACGCAATAAATACCTTTGTCCCATTCAAGAATCTCCATTTACGCGGCAACTCTCTGCCTGTGTCACTCTCTCACCACGGTACTTGAATTTTCCGTCCATCGATAAATACCGATTAATGCCTGCCTGTAGTACCAGTATCTGTACCAACTACGGACAACTCGAATTCCTTTCATTCGAGTTACGACAACCAGCCAGCTACGTGCCAACCGTGATTGTTAAATTTCGATTAAGATTTAGGCGGGAAATTCAGATTTCGGGAATACGATTTTCAACTTTCTGACTTGGCGTCACACGACTGGTCTCTTAAACCTTTCAAGATTTACACGGTGGAGCGAGCAGTCGAGGTGGAAACTGTTTGAGCGTCACTGGGAGCAATATACCATGATGTCAGCCACTCTGCCGTGGCTCCGCTCTGCCAGGGTTGGTACCGGGGGTGGCTTGGCTTCGCCGGGGTACAAAATGATATCATTGGGTTATAAATTCCAAGCAGAGACACCGGCGGCCCGATCGCCTCCCTTCCTTCTTGTTACAACCCTTCTCCGGCCGCTCCAACCCTCAGCCTCTTCCTCCTCTTCTTCGCTTTCGCCCGTTTCTCTTTCTCTTTCTCTTACTCTTTCTCCTTGCCGCGGGAAATATATCTACCACATGGCCTCGACCGAATAAACAGAATATTCTGATAATTTTCCGTGTCCCACCCCCTAACTAACTAAATGTCTCGGCTTACTTGCCGCGATCGCAGCTACTCTCCCCTCGTCTCTCCACTCTCTTCCTTACAAGTTTTTCAGGCTTCCGCGTCGTTCGTCGTTGTACGAATTATATATAGGCGATATATATAGGAAACCTGATAATTAGACTTTCGATACTTTTTGTTTTCCTTTTCGCAGCAACCGCGTATTCCTACGAACGGAATTGAAAAGATCGAGCGTGAATTAGGTTAACTAGTGTTGTATCTTCTTTCATCACACTGTGTACAAAAGTTTCGTATACGTATATATATGTATATATGTATATATATATATATATATATATATAAAATTTATTTTACGGCCAGTTAGGTCATACACATACAGTTGGAATGTTAATGCTTGGAATAATTTTGTGACGCGGCACTGCAAGCGTGCAAATGTAAATGGCTAATCATACTGTAGCGTTTTATTAATCCTACGGGGAGATGTAGTCTCAAATTTTGCAACTGTATATAACTTTGACCGTATCATATATATATATATATATATATATATATATATATATATA